AAAGTTAATATTTTTAAATATTGTTAGTTAGAATGGTTATTTTTTATATTTACTGACTGCCAAGAATTGGGAAAACAATTTTATTGAAGCAGCAGTTATAGATTGTTTAGGCATCGCTGGGTGAAATGAGTTTTCATATCAGGGAAAATGAAACATGCTAATGCTTACCTAGCTTTTTTGTAAGGTTAGGGTCAGGAGCTTGTTATCTCCAAAAGTTGGTGGCCGCATCCACATCACAAATGTTAAATGTAATCAGATTACTTTAAGTCAGATTTTTGGACATAAATATTTTTTGAGTGCATTCATAGAATTACATACACCCAGCACTAGACTTGACCAATTATTCATCTATTTTGCCATCTTTATGTAGGTGATGTTGATGCTCTCTTCTTGTTTTCAAAGTTGCCGATCAGGTTTATTATAGTCCTTTGAAACCTGTCAAGTGATGTCATAACCTGTTGTATTGTCACTTTAACTAAAACTTTAGTTTTATCCAGAAATCTCAATCACTGCTTCGACAGCAACTTCTCAAACTAAGATCCACTAAGAAGCTTTTTAGAGTAAGTAAGTAAAATTTATTTATATAGCACATTTCACAGATAAAAATCACAAAGTGCTTCACAATAAGATCAGACATGCAGGTTAAACTTAATTAAAAGCCCGTTTGTATAAAAATGTCTTCAGCTGCTTTTTAAAGGAGTCAGTAGAGTCTAGACAGCGTAAAGACAACGGCAGAGAGTTCCACAGCCTCGGTGCCAGTGCCTGAAAAGCTCGATCCCCACGTGTTTTAAACTAGGGCTGGGTATCGTCACTGATTTCTAGAATCGATTTGATTCCGATTGACAAGGTCCCGAATCGATTCGATCCACGATTCGATTCAATTTGATTTGAATCTGGGAAATTTTGCCTCAGTCAGAAATATTATAATTCAGATCAGTACATTTACATATTTTTGTATCTATAAAAAGGAAGCTGACACTTTCCAGACTTTATCAAAGGTGGGAGCATCACAGCAGATGCCTTTGTGTCATAATAGCTGAAGATAAAACACCGAAAAACATGAAGGTGATTTTCCTGGCCTGGGATTTTATAAAAATATTCTGCAGTACATCAAAAATGAAAGAAAACCATTAATTAACATATGAACATTACCTCTGAAATTACAGCGGTTTTATTAGAGACACAGCTGATCGTTTTGCATTTTGCATAATTTTAAAAAGTTGAAATT